GGATGAACAGATGGATGGATGGATAGATAGATGAATGGATGGATGAACGGATGGATGGATGGATGGATGGATGAATGGATGGATGAACGGATGAATGGATGAACAGATGGATGAATGAATGGATGGGTGAACAGATGGATGGATGAACGGATGAACAGATGGATGGATGAATGGATGGATGAACGGATGAACGGATGAACAGATGGATGAATGAATGGATGGGTGAACAGATGGATGGATGGATGGATGAACGGATGAACAGATGGGTGGATGAATGGATGGATGAACGGATGAACAGATGAACAGATGGATGAATGGATGGATGGGTGAACAGATGAAGGTGCTGATGTTGTAGCCCTGCATCTCTCAGAAGGCAATGGATTCAATTTACCAAACATGAGCATTTGCATTACATTGAATTAAATTAAGATTCCTCAACTATTTGTACCTTTCCTGGGACCCCCTGAGTGCATAATCTTCAGGTAATACAAGGGTTTCTCCTATTGGAGCACCATGGATATAGCTTCATGTTTACAATTTGCAGTCCGCTGGGAATAATGTAATGGTGAAAGCGATTTTTTCTTTTTCTTTTTAGTGTTCTCAGGCAGAGAGCAGAGATGTGGGTTTAATAGCACATTATTTATTCCTACCTCTCAGGGCGGAGGGGGATGCTGTGTTTGTGAATGTAATGTGGCTCGGATTAAGGCAGGAGAAGTTTTCATCACGGAAAGTCTGGTCACAGATGCTCCTGGCACCTGTGGAGGACAAGCTGCTTTAGAGAAACCTCTCCCTAGCTCGCCCATTCGGGGCTTCTCTTTGCATGACTCTCTGAAACACCATCTCTCAAAGGTTCCCCTTCAGAGCGAAGCTTTGCTCTTTGCTGAAACTTGGCAAACAAAACCTCAGCTTGGGAACAGTCTCTTCCCTCTGCCTCCTCATCGCTCCCACCCCCTGTTTATTAATTTCCTACCAGAAACTGCCCAACTGCGTTTAACTGGGTACACATTTTGCAAAACAAATATATATACGACAGTTAAATTCTGATCTTCTTCCTTGAATTTAGATTTCTTCTAATTAAAAAAATGTTTTGATTACTTCCCCCACCAACCCCTCAAAGGGAAAAAGAAAGTTTAAAAATAAGTGGTGACACCCAAAGACTCTGGAATAAATACTTCTTTGCGAGCTCAGAGTGGAGAGATGGTCAAACTGTGTCCTTAGTGTCAGGCGGAAGTCTTTTTTTTGGAGTACTTTTCCCCCAGATTGAAGTCATTAAGCAGCGTCTGAGACCCGCTCAGGCGCAGCTTGAAGGACCTTCCCGCGCCCGGGAGTCAGCACCCCACATTCACAGGCGCAGGCAGCGGACCAGGGTCACCTCCCTCCTTGCCTGGCTCTTTGCAGCATCTGCTTCTGGGGAGTCCGAAGTGCGGCGCTGGGCATGTTCCATGTGGCCGCTGTAAGTGATGGCCCCTGGCTGAAATTCCTTCCTCCTGAAGGGGTTTCAGCAGGATTGGTGCCTCCCCAACACCCCCATAAATCTGCATCCCTTCTCTCCCTCCGCTCCCGCCGTGACCACCGCTCAGCCCCTGTGAGATGCCCCGCGCGCTCCGCTAAGTTTGCGGGCTGAGCCCTGTGGGCCCAGGGCCAACTCCAGACCATGGTGCCTGGGAGGGAGGTGCCCTGCCATGCCGTCCCCCGACCCCACCTCTCAAATGCCCCACGCTGGCATCTTCCCATTGATCTTCACCCACAACCTTAATAAGCTGTGGAAAATGGATTAAAATAAACAGGATAAGTAACTCATGGCCACACCCTAGAAGTCATCATCACTTCACACATCAAATTCTAATGCCCCATCTTCTCCTCGAGGACTCTGCCCTTCCCCCATCTCTGGACCACACTCTGGTCACACATGTTCTTCCGTCTCCCAGCTTTCCAGCACATCTTACTTGTTTCCCCTAAACAGCCTCCATCTACCCCCACCATTCAGCCTGGAATCCAGCACTTATCTCTTACACCACTTCTCACCGCCAGCCTCCGTTTTTTGGGCCTCATTATCCGCTGCCCCAGCCTGAGAAACTCCAGGCCAGCTCTCTGCCTCCCCCTCTCCCATGTCCAGGCTGCACGTTCCCTGGAGGAAGCACACGGCCACAACTCCAGGTTCCTGCAATTCCATCTTCTACCTGAGCCAGGTCGTTCCCTGATTGATTGTGATCAACTCCTTCTCCTGTTTCTCCTGAGATGCCCTCACACACTCCCCACCTCCCCCATACCCTCTCTGCAATGCAGTCCCCCTGGGTACCAGGGGGGACTTCATTCCCAGTTTCATAGCGGAAACAAACTGATGTCACTAACAGCTCCTCTGGTTCCCGGGAGAACACATCTGTCCTCATTCATGTGGACCCCTTTCTCAGGCCCTCATTCCTTCCCACTTCCCTGGAAGAGGGTCCTGATCCTGGCTCCTGCCGCTTCCCAAGGACCTTGCTCCACTATCTGTACTGACCACCCCCCCTCCTCCCTCCCCCTCCCCCATTTGATCTCTCTCCTTGAAAACAGTCTCTTCCCTTTACTGTTCAGCTCACGTCCCCTGGCTTCTCTAGCCCTCCACGTCTCCACTGGAAAATGCCCCCAACAGACTCACCAGTAGTGTCAGACTTGCCAGATCCAGCGGTGAACCTTTGGTCCTGCTTCAGCGTGGCCCTTCTGAGTCTCTGCTGCCCATCTTCCACCAGGTCCTTTGTATTCTGTCCTCTTCTGTGTCTGCACGCGCTCTGCAGCCTGGAAGATGAACTGTACCTGTTGCTTCAATGGACTCCCTTGTCCTCTGGCCGCCAGTTGGGTTTGGCCAATGGGAAGCCCAGGAGACAGTGGGTGAGGGAGAAAGGTCATGGCTGGGCATATATATCCCGCTCGCCAAAGGCAGGCTGCTATCCTGGACGGAAGTCACAGCTCCTCCCAAGGGATCCTCTCCAGACCGCTCTCTCTCTTTCTCTTTCTCTCTCTCATTCCGTCTCTCTCCGGGTTCCAGTAGTCACCCTCTCTTCTCGGCCATCCAGACCTAGAGGTGCTGGCCCCACTCTCTGTGGTCACCCACCACTGGGTATTCTACAGTTCCTTCTGGGTTCCCTACACCTGCCCACCCCTTTGTAAACAGTCTCTTTACTAAACGCTCCTTGAGTGTCCCAGTTCCAGACATGTCACCTCTTCCGCCCCAGGACCAGGACCCAGATGAGGTCATGGAGCACCAGCAACCGCTGCTCCCTCCTTGGTCTTGTGATGTGTCTCCTGTTCTCCTCCTAACCCTCCACCTCTTCTGATCGCTCCCCTTTGGACCACAGAGTTTGATGCTTAAGGAAAACAGGCTCCCTTGGGAAGTTTCTGCACCTCAAGACTTCTGCGCCTCGGTCTTCTCATTGATGAGTGGTGAGTGCAGAGCTCCCCTGCCTCCCTCAGAGCGTGGCTGTGAAGATGAGGTGGGCTGACACATGGGCTGTGCCCCGCCCCTGCCTGGGGGTGCAGGACACAAACCACAAGGGCTGCTTTGCTGTGTTCCAATGACTGATGACTCTCTCTGCTGTTTTTCTACCTGCCCCTAACTCTTGGTGTTCCCAGAGCCCTACCTGTAGCCACTTCCCTGTTCATGTTGTAAAATGTCACCGGGATGACGTGAATGATTATGACAAGAGTTAACACGCCTCATGCCCTTCCTCTGTCATCAAGTTCATTTACCCTCATAAAGGCTCTGTCTTGACTGGCTCTCTTCCCTCCCTGAGCTGGATTTCCTCCTCTGGCCACGGAGATGATGTTTGTACCTAGCCGGGAAAGGCTCTTCTCATGAATTTGATGACCTAATACAAAAAAAGACCTTCTCAGATAAGTAGTGGGAGTAACCCAGATTGTGCAAGAAGCAAGGAGCTGTAGGGAGGTGAAGTCTCTTCCCAGGGTCCCAGGAGAGGCCGAGAGAACACTCAGAGCCAGCCAGGCTGACCCCAGGCAGCAAGGGGTGACTTTGGTAGCATCCACACCCCAGAGGCAGGGAAAAAACTCAAGAAGTGGTCAATAGATGAGCTTCTGAAACCAGCCCCATGATTTCCGAAAATGCTAAGAAAAACACTTTCCTGGCCCTAATGGGTGAGCGCCCAGGTGGGAGCAGGCAAGTGGCTCTGGGCGGGCAGCGTGTGACAGACAGCGAGGCTGTTCCATCATTTTCTAACCCAGCAGAATGAGGACAAGAAGCCAATAGGCCAGGTCCCCTCCGCATGTGTCCTCTCTGGGTGTCAGGGTCACACTGACTTCAAAGGAAGCAATGGCTGAACCGGAGTTAAGGGGAACTGGACCCAGAAGAACTGGACCAGGAGAGCATACGTGGCAAGGGACGGAGTCGGGGAAATGGGCTTGAATGCTCTGCAGCGTGTTCCGGCAGCGGCAGTGATGGAGTTTCCCCCGCAAAGTGGGATTTTCTTGTATCTCACGAGTATCTCCTTAAACAGTATTTTTAATTAGGCCCCTCGTTTTCTTTTATTTCTTTATTAGGGAAGCTTCACACTTACCCTGATGTGAGAAGGTTCTTAGAAATAAACAGTTTCCATAAAAGCAAAATTTCTTCCCAAGATCATTACGCCTATGTGGCAGGGAAACGGAATAGCACCTCTGGGAATTTAACGCTGTCAAGAGTCTATTTCCACGCCGTGTGACGCTCGCCCGTGAGATCAGCTCTGTCTCCATTTGCTGCTCCTTCTCGAGAAACAAGAGGAGGTCGTCAAACCTCCCTGATGATAAACCATCAAAGACCTTTTCTTACATAAACAGAGAAATTATCTTTAAAAAATGGGGCCCTTTTTTTAAACATGAGGATCCCCTGGTGCTTGTGCTGGCTGAACCTGGTGGTGACAAGGGGTCATCATGGTGGAGGGACAGTGACCGCTGCCAGATAACATGCTCTCACTCTTTAAAACGGGATTCCAGATTTGCCTTTTTGTTTTCACTCAAAGATTTGGAAGCACGAGAAGAGAACCTGTCAAGATGAGACGCCCTTTCCACTGCACAGAATTTCAAATCTCTGTGGCATTGGGTAGACTCCCTCAGTTCACAGGTTTCCAGAAAAGCCCATGACTTCCTGCCAGGGCCGTCGTGGGCCTGGGGGCTGACCCGCTCCCCTCCTCCCTCAATGACTCATGTGTAATATAACATCTGAGTGTGAATGTAAGCATTTTCATATGAAAAGGATTGATTTTTGCCACTGACATGGGATTCTAATGATTGGAAACAATATATTGATTTTCTTTTTTTAATTAAAGCCATCATCCCACTCATAATGGAAGGTCTTGCCCTTTGTGAAATTTATATCCATAGTCCTTGGGTGATGTCTGCAATTACAACTCCCAGGGGTGAGCATCACATTTGGGAAGGAGGAAGGACTCATAGGAGAGAAACAAGTCTCATGGCCTTCTTGGTAACAGGCTTTTAGTGTTGGTCAAAGGGGGCTGATGGAAGGCTGGATGGATGTTGAAGTATCTTGGCCCCGGGATACAGCCCCAGACGGACAAATTCCCCAGGGCGCCAAGGCTGCTCCTAATTCATGTTCTCAGAATTTCCTTTATCCTTGTCTTGCTCCCTGTGGCATCTGGAAGAGACCCATAAAGACTCTCCACTTTGAGAAAATGGTGTAAATTGAGCCCTGTTTGGTTAAAATGTCCTTTCGCCTCACAAGTATCATTCACGAACTGTCACTGGGATCCGATCCCCAGACCCTGAAGCCCAGAGTCTAGTTCCGCCCAGGCTGGCTCAAAACAGGCCAGGAAATAAGGAACCGATGTAGATTGATTTGGGGCCAGTGTTAACCCTTGTGAATGAAAAAGATTGGCTGCTGTATCAATGAATGAAGGATGCTGCGGCCATCGAGCCATCACACTGCAGCCGCCCTGACGGTGAGCCCTGGACTCAGGATGGAAACAGGATGCCGGGCCATTATGCAGTCAGCCACCCCCAGCGTACTCCCTGAAGAGACTCAGGATGGAAAGCACAGGAGAGCAGGTCACTGGCCCTAGAGACTCAGGTGCACATCCAAGGAATGATGTCAATGAGCCCAGGTTTTGCATCTTCCCATACAGAGAAAAACGCTAAATTCCTTCACTTGAGATGTGTGGGGTTTTTTTATTTACCAGAAACCCTTTGATATTCCAACCACCTGATCTCTGTTGTGAAAACTCCTGTATAACTTGGCTCCTCCCTTGCCTCTTCTGAGCGGTCCTTTAGAGGCTGTCTCCCGGGCTTGAAGTACTCAGAAAGTCTGCCAAATAAAACACAATTCTCAGCTTTTAGGTTGTGCATAATTTTTTTCAGTTGACACTCTGCGCTGCTCTCAGCACCCAGCTCCCTCCTCCCCTCCCATGGGCATCGGGATCACAGCTGAGTGAGGCCTCACAGGACATTGAGGGGATCTGAATTAACTCTTTTGTTTCACACCTGAAGACATGAAGCTGCTGGTTAAGTCATGTGCCCGTCTTGTTCCCGGCAAAGCCTGGCGAGCATGACTTCTCTTATGCCCAGTCCAGCGCCCTCTTTCTGATACAACAGTCCTTCAAGCCCCAAATACCACAGAAGATTCCCCCAGATTCTCCTGGTGACTGACAAACACTGCGGTCTATGCAGTCTTCCATGTGGTCCACGAGGACCTCATGATGTCCTTCCCTCACCTGCAGGCTCACCTCCAAGACCCCTCCATCCTGCCCCGCCCCTTCCCCAGCATCCCGGCTGGTCTTTCTCCCCTCCCCCATGGACCCCTGGCTTTTTCCTCTTTCCTCCATCTTGGTCAGCACTTCGCTTGGGCCTAGTGCTCACCCTGGCTGCCACATTCTGACTTTATTTCCCTTTGCGTATTTGATTTTTCATCAGCAAAGAGAAATCATATCCACTTATCTCTTGGGTGGTTGTGAAGATCAGCTCAAATAACGTCTATGAAAATATGTGTAAACTAAGAAACTAAGTCATGCCTCCAACATAGCCTTGCCAACTGATGTGGGAGCCCCAGGGAGGCACGCATGGATAATAGGTGTGGGAGGACTGGGATCTGCCCCTCCCACTGACAGGTTGGCCCCGGCAGCGTCTTCTGAAGGCAAAGTGACTGCCAGTGGGAGACTCTGATGGGGGTGTGGCAGGCACTAGTGCCAGACCCGAGGGGATAATTTTCCCTGCAATCTTTCCAAGCTCTAGAAAGTCCCATTTTGAGCACTTTTCTTCTCCTGTACTTGAGGCAGGCATTGCCTTAAGAGAACCAGAAAGGGAGAAAGACATTAGCTTGAAGATTCACATTCCAGAAGAGAGGAAGGCTTTCCTAAAATAAAAGTGTAGCCACTGCACAGGACAGAGGCAGGCTCAATCTCAGTCACACGGCCCACCGGCTGTGGGACCAGGCACCCCCTTCCTCTCCAGGCTTGGCGGTTACAGGCGGTGGAAACCATCATTGCTCTAACCGAGTCGTTGCCGCCAGTACAGACCCCTCACTAGCCGGGAACGTGGCCAGCGTCCTGAGAGGCTCTTCTGAGATCAGAAATACACCTAAGAGTTAAAACACTTGTCAGGCATTTATTCTTTGGTGCAGCTGGGTTTGCTATTTTATTTCTTTGCTCAGTTTGACATGAGAGATGGGTTGAGAGAGCAATGAGTCTTTTGGGTCAAAAACCACGATGGGCAGGGAACTGAGAGGTATGAGCTATTATTATAAAATAAGCCATGAGGACATGCTGTACAACACAGAGACTAGAGCCAGTGTTTTCTAGTAACTATAAATAAAGTATAACCCTTAAATATCGTGAACTACTATGCTGTACACATAAGTTGTATAAAATGGTACACCAACTATATCTCAATGAAGAGTTAAAAATTTTAAAAAAAATCCAAGGATGGGTCACACTGCCGACGCCTTCCCAGGCGAGGCAAGCTCCGAGCCTCTGTGTGAAGGAAGGGAAGGGACAAGAGCCAGCCAGGTAGCAGCTGCCCTCTCTGGCTTTTCGTGGATTCAGGCCATCTCTGGAGGCTTCCCGGGACTGAGCTTTGCTGTCCCTCACTCAGAGGCTCATCAGACAGACAGCTGACTCACGGAAGGTCTTCAGAGATGTGGTTTATTTCCAAGAGGGGCAAACACGCGCTCAAGGACCACTTGAGAGGTAGCAGGCCAACCTGCCTTCTCGCAGGCAGGCTCAGTGGGTCCTAAAATCTCACAGTTCACACCTGCCCCCATGACTCCACTCTGTGCCCACTGCACAAATTCCCTCCCCAACCCCACGGCGGTTCCTCTTTGCAAAGCACGCAATCTCTGCTGTTCCTTCCTCTTTACTCTGCCTGTGACTCTGAGTGTCTTGCTGAGTGAGACATGTATTTTTTTGCTGACAAGAATGTGCTTGCCCAATTTTACTTATTCAATAAATTCTTTTTCTACTAACAAAGCATAAAAAATGGCTTTCTGTGTACCCAAGTTTTGCTGCAATAATTACAGACAACAGTGGGAAAGCTGGACGCTCATTCCAGAATCGAGAGTGACATTTTCACTTGGTCACCACTACGAAGACGGTCTGTTAACAAGAAATTTGGATTCTGATCACATATCCACACTGAAAAATGTGTTCATGCCGAGAAGGAATTACGAATGGTTTTCAAAGGGCTGTAGCTGAAGTGTGATGCGAGCCCTGGAGGGGCCCAGTGATGGGAGAGGGTTGGTAACCATGGGAGGGGAGGCTCACCTGTACCCTGTGAGCATGGGGACCTCTACAGAAAGCTCGTAGCTTTCGGAGAGCCACAGAGGCCATCATTAGTGTCCACTGCATTCCTGCTAACGGCTGACGGGGAGGCAGGATCTTTTGATGTTTAACTCAAGCCTTTAGCTTGCATATCTTCTGCTTATCTGAAAATGGCATAGGGTAATGATTTAAAAGAGCCAGACAGGTGGGGGTGATGGATGTCCCAGGTTGAAGGAAAGTCACTTGGAACAAAGCACTTCGGAAGGGAAACTGCTTTGATTAGGTTTTCAATGACTGGGTAATCTTTTGCTTAAATCCATGACTCTCTTCCTGATAGAAACCTGACTTTACGGATTGAAATAGTGTTCCCAGGAGTCAGGCTTTGATGACCTGTGATGCTGGGGAAAAAACTTGTTTCTGCGTGAATGGACCAGAAGAGGTAAACAAAAAGCGGTTGTTTGTGGACGGAAGGGCTCTGTTCTGGGGGAGTGCTTTCTGAGGCTCTCAGAACAAGTGGCCACACATCCCATCACTTCCACCAGGGCCTTTTCCTCAGGCAGAACCTAGCCTTGGGAGGAGATGTCAGAGAATTATGCAACAACTTAACAATGACTTTTCTCCTTGCATCTATTTTAGGATCTCAGTTTACTAGCCTGAAAAGTGACGAACTTGGACTAGATCATTTCAGTGCAAATGAGCGTGTTTTTCTACCAGTGAAGAAAATGAGGGAAGCATGACTTGGAACTCACAAGATCTTTCTAAACCCACAAATCCGAGGTGCTGCCATCAAAACCAATGTGGGTTTGAGATTTGCAAACGTTAGCCACTGTATATAAAAATAGATTTAAAAACTGCAAATTTCTTCTGTACAGTACAGGGAACTATATTCAATAACCTTTAATGAAAAAGAATATGAAAATGAATATATGTATACATATGCATGGCTGGGACACTGCGCTGCACACCAGAGAGTGCCGCATTGTAACTGACTGTATTTCAATTTAAAAAAAAAAAGCATTCTGGGTAGGAAAGAACCATTCACTTAGGAATAGTGAATGTGTTGTTCTTTTGGCCAAGAGACAGGACTTGAGAGGGACTGATATTTATGAAAAGGACTGAAATAAAGGGACCTGAGTTTTATTTCTGCACTGAGTGTTTTTCCTTTACAGTCGTTCTAAAATTAGGTTTCTCCCCAAAGGTGGCCCTTCTAGAACCTAGGGAAGGCATCCTATTTGAATGGTGGATGATGCTAAATAATGATTAAGTGATTACATTCTGG